CTTTTTTTGCCCTATTCCCAAATTCCATCTTCTCTTCAAAAAGAACCTCAAAATCCATGGAGGTTTTCAATCAATTTCTGCAATTCCGATAATTTTAACTATCGTTATCTGCAGTTTTTCCTTCTATCTCTACAGTATACATACCGGCGAAACTTTTTTTTTTTTTGTGTATGTATATGTGTGTTTGAATTGTTAGGGGAATGGAGGTGGTTGAGGTGACAGGTACAAAGCCGATCCAGTTGGTGAGAGCTAAATCGAACCAGGATCGGATTAAGGTGAAGAGAAAAACGCTAGAGGCTGTGTTACAGGAATGCCAACGAGCTCTTGAATTGCTTAGTACTACTGGTTCCGTTGAGGATGACACCGATGAATCCAATTCTAGCAGTGATGTTGACCGGGATGCTTTGGAAGATTCCGGTCAAGGCTCCTCTACTCCGTCTGCGGATGTTGAGACCGATGAGGTCAGCGTTAATTATTAATTCTGTCCATAGTTGTGAAATAGTAGTTGTTAATTTCTTTTTCAGCTGTATTCGCTGTGAAATATTTTGTATATATGCTAAAAAGTGTTTGAATTGATTTAGTTGGCATCTTTTAATGTAAAACATGAGCTGAGCTGGAAAAGAGATTATACAGCGATTAACTGTAGCTGAGAAATTTGAAAATTCATCTACTTCGATTGAAGAAAAAAATAGAGAAGAGATGTAAAGCATATGGTTATATATGCTAAGTTAGCTAGAAAGTCCTATTAGCAAATATTAGGTTATATCAGGAGAGTTGTAGAAATCAAGCTGTATGTACTTCCGTATACTCATCATAGTCGGAGAACTGTAAGGTGCTTTTGAATATCACTGCTATAATTATCATAATTGCATTTATTTTGTGGTTCTAATTTGAGACAGTTTTTGTACTTGTACTGCTGCCTTAATCTCTAAAAGGGTTTTTGGTTTCGGACTTTGAGTTGATGCGCAACGTTAATTGCATAGTAAAAGAATTGGCATGTACTATGTTAGTTTATTTGAGTTGGTCATCCTTATTATGTTTTTATAAGTTATTACATACAATATTTGCTATTGAAGATTGTTGGTTTCTTATTCAACTAGCAGATGCATTAATTTCACTTGTATTGAATAATGATTGACTATTAGTGATTCAAGCAGACCAATGCCACTGTCCCATTCTATTGTTTGGATAGATGGATTTAGGCAATCCACTTGTTTAATTTAAATTCTATGAACATCAACCACGGCAAAAAGTTTGAAAGTGCGTTTTGCGCGTCTCTTTTGTTGTGCAGCTGCGAGATCTCCTGAAATCTAGAGTTCAATGCTCAGATTTCCTTCAAAAGCTAGAAAATTCTCAAGCATCTGTTCCGCAAAACTTAGCTGGTATGTTTTCCAGAAAGTTGGTAACTGTACCTGAAGTCTTATCAGTTTCCTTCTCAAGTGGGATCATGGTAGTAATAGCTTCCTTTTTTATTGTGTTGTAGAAGAAGGAAGTTCGTGGGACATGGTCAATGAGAATGACCTTTGGGAAGGTGGAGATCCTGAGTTAGACGGAGAAGACTATGTTTTAGTTAGGCAAGAAGATATAGTGGATGGTATAGCTTGCTTTATGGCTGCATACCTGTTATCTCTTAAGCAGACTAAGGTATGTATGTTTCCTTAGAAGAAACAGGCCTGATCTTCTTGCTCCTTAAAGTGTTGGTTCTTTCCTTTATTTCCTCAAGTTAAAACATAGCTCAATGCAACATCCAGTGTTTTGGTTTTCCTTGTAAATGTGTTTATTTCAATTCATTAAATTGCTTACCTTTTGACTTCATAAAGAAAATGTTTACCTAGTTTTAATCATCTCTGTCATTTTCTTGTGTTCTTATCCTTATCTTAGCAGTTTGTTTGTACTTTGTCGCCCTCTAGACATAAGAGAATGATATAGTTGCTACTCCACTCATAATTTACTTTCCTCGAAAGTAGAAACTAATTAAAATTAGAAAGCTAGACTTTGTGGAGTGGCTCACAGCAATCTTAGCGGAGAAGTCCTAGTAGATAAACCTTTCTGCTGTAACTCCCTGATTAAATAGGTGTTTTTGTTCTCAGGAGTCAACCATATTTTTGTGTATGTAATTTGCAACTTCTTGATGCCTTTCTAATACAACATCTTACTTCATCAAAAAATCAGTCTCCTGGTTCTCCTAATAGTCAGGTCATTTGCTTTCTGTAGTCTGAAGAAATTCCTTCTATAGTAAGCCACTAAAAGCCTGCAAAGATCTAATGCTATCCCCTCTCCCCCAAATTATGACACAATTTACATCCCTATATTTCGACAACTATGTTACAAATAGTTTTTATATTGCTTGAACAAACTTCAATTATTTTTTCTTTGTACTGTTCAAAGTAGAATTTGATATGATGTTTTTTCCATTAAGTTCTCTTTTCAATAACCATCCTTATGTTGTTTCCACCAATAGTAATATGTTACGAAACTGAAATCGACATCTTTGATTGTCTACCTTATCAAATGATGTTACATAAAATGAAGAAACAGAGGGAGTATCTCTTCTCCAAAATCTGCCCACTTGTCTTGCTGAATGTCATTTCACATCTCTGTGTTTTGGTCAGAAAGGACCTTGATGTAAGAGCATTAGCTGATAAATTGTCAAAAAAGATATTAGTTGACTAATTGATCAATTTTGGTTGATAAGATTGAAAATAATTTTCCAGTGCCAATTGTGTTTTGAGTTCGCTGTGCTGATTCATGATGAATAGTTTCACGGCACTCGTATCATTATATAGGATGAAAGATAATCACAATTACTGTTCAAAGTTACTTTTAGTGTCTCCTCCTCTCTAGGAGGTTTAATTCTTTGCACTAATTTGTGCAGGATTTGACACCAAACCAACTCCAAGATGGTTAGTTGAATTTCTTGCTTTCTTCCCACATTTCTTCTAAGGATACTTATAAAAGAAAACTCTTGTTTTCATTCACTCTGATTCAATTCATTTTTAAAAGTTGGATCGAGGAAAGTGACATTAGATTTTCTTCACAGCTCTCAGCAAGACATTCTCTTTGAAAAAGAAGAAAGGAAAGCTCCGAAAGGCATGGGATGGAAGCAAAGTTATTTACAATGTAGCATCTTGGGGGGCTACAGCTATTGGGTAAGCCAATCTATTTGATTCAGCAAAGTAGTTCTGCTATCTCTTTTTCAAAATTGAGTAAAGTAGTTCTGCTCTCTTCTATCTCAATGTCTGATGTACTCAGAGATGACAATATTCTGTGTAAAATGTTTTTTTGAGGAAAGTTGTTTCTTTCCTTGTCTGCACTTGTTCTTTCAATAACAACTTCAAAGCATGTTTTGCTCATTGTAAGGTGGAAACAGAATCGAAAGACAGCTGAACATAATCTTCTTCCCACTGCAGACTACAGCAAGGGCTAAACTAGTGCTTATAGCTTAAGAAGTGCAAAACAATGTCCAGACACTTATTAAGCAAGGAAATCTTTTAGCCTTGGTGAATGAGCCTGTAGTCTTTCAGCTCCATGTATTCTCTCGCTTTTCTTGGCCAGATTCTCTCCAACTAAAGCTCTTGCCACGTCATCATAATGGGTTATCACTAGGTTTCCCAAATCAAAACACCAAATAGGAGGAGAAACCAAAAAGAATATAAACATGTTACACTTTAAGCTGTACTCAGCAACAAAAAAAAAAAAACATACCCAGTATAATCCCACTATACTCTAAGCTGCACCTAAGTTTGTCAAACTGTGCTCATTGCTAGATTATTATAAGTTTATAATCCATGAATGTGGAGAAGGGGAGAAATCAGTTTCAATCGTCTTCAAAACTGATTGAATGTGAATTGGAAATAAACAAGGGACTGAGTGGTCATGTAGAATCTTCTTTGTGCTCTAATCTTGAGCTAGTTTGCATAGCATGATACATCAGTTGTTGCCAAATCGGAAGTTGATGTTTGCGTTAATAGAGACTAAACTGAATTCTATCCTTGGTATATTCTCGATTTATTTGTTTAGTATGATATTTAATGCCTCTTCGGAAGATTGAAGGATACTAGTAAATCCTAACGAATGCAAGTCTTATTGATATCATTTGCCTAAACATATGTGCTTTTAATCAGGATATACCAAAACCCAGCTATTCTAAGTGCTGCATCAGCAGCATTCTGGACTTCCTGCCGTGTAATATCAAAGCTCTTATAAGCAGCAGTTCTGGCTTAGCTGAAATCCCAATGCTTCGCCTGCACGTTGTAACATTTGCTTGTGCCCTCTGGATTAGGTTGTTGGTTCATTAACGTGTAATATAAATGTCATTCTTTGTTTAATCATGTAAATATTTCACCAATTGAATAGCCTGCGTGCAGATTGATTGGGCTTAATCTGATGATCTTGTTTGATTATTGATTCTCTCTACTGATCGCAGTTGATCATGATGCCTTCTGAATTATTTAGCAATTTACTGCCTTACAACTCTCTCGGTTGTGGAGTGTGAGTGTTGATTATTTATTTTATTTGCCCTAATGCTTGTTGGCTTAATTTCAAACAGGCAGATTGGACGTTAGACTCGAAATTGAGAAAAAAAAACTCAAATGTTAGAATGTTGATTGACCACTTGCTTCCATCTACTTGTTTATACATAACCCGCTCAGCTCGAAGAAAAAAGTTAATCAATGATATCTAGTAAACATTTAGACAATTTTGAGTTGGAATTGGAAAAAAAAAATAACACTTGAGAAGGAATTTTGCAGATCTTAGTTTAGAAGTTAACTACCTAAGATGTATCGACAAATACTTCATAAGTTATGAATTAATTTTTATATGATCCTGGACGATTTTTAAAGGTTCTTCGTATGGCACTCTAAACTCTTTCTTACGCGAGACAAGCAGTTACTGTGATCAAGTCAATTAACCAAATGAGAGTCGGAAAATTGAAATAAGAAATGTCAAAGTGATTCTTGAATGCTTCTGCATATGTAGATAGAGGGAGTGCAGTCATGGAAGAACACAATACGCAGAAGACATGCTCAAGATGATGTAGATACTTGACAAAATGTGAATTACAAGCTATACGTCTTTTATATATGGAGCAGTAGAGTCACCTGCTCCTACAACAAAAATGACTGAGAGACACTATTTTCTATTCTTCTGTAGCAGGCCTAAAAACCACAAGAGAGAACATCTTCACCGTGGTCCTCCCTAATCTGAGGCGAATCCACCTGTAGGCTATAGGTTATAGGCTATGGCAACGACACCCTTCTTCCTCTCTTTCTGTTTCCGGAACCAAAAAGAAACAAAAGAATGAAATTGAATAGGAAACCTATACATAATTACATCTAGTAAAAGTAATTTGATCCTTTGTTATTCGATGCATCCCTACAAAGCATTGATCGCACTTCAAGAATGGACCTTGGAGGCTCAAGGTCTTTCTCTTGAAGCGAATTGCCTAAAAGCTGCTGCATCTGAGAGGCAAAGGTATCATCTAGGATCTGCAAATGTCAAGTACATAAAATGATGAAACATATAGTAATTGAATGCACTTTGTCCGACAAAAACAAGACGTTGCTACTTACAGAGACTGCAATTCGTGAGCCCTTGTACCAAGACCGGTTCTCTTTCCTGCTCTCTAAGAAACTTAGCACGTCCTGCATTAGATTGAAATTAGTATGAATTTTCACACGAAAAAGAAGACTAAGCTATCAACCAGAAGTTCAACCAACACATACCTGTCCCATCCTGTCCCAGTAGCCTCGACAACTTGCGATGAATACATTAGGTTCAAAAATGGTGTAAAGGTGATTTATGGTACTCGTCAGCTGCTCCTTCAATGGCTGCATCTTAAATCTTATGTCTGATTCTATGACATTCTCCTTGGAATCTTGTAAAATTTTCTTCAACTTTGTGTTGTTCTGCAGCTTCGTCTGAAGCAGGAACGGTGATATTTGTTTAGTAGTCAGCGTATGGCATAAGTTTGACAGATATAAGTGCAGAATTTGACTGGAGCTACGTATACATTTTCCATTATGGGTATCGGTTATGAGTTCGCTTATGAAATGAGTGACATAAGATCAGCATAATGAAGCTTCACTTTATGAAATGAGTGAACATAAGATCAGCATAACGGAGCCTACTGTTAACGACTGAACTTTCAAGATAGCAAATTAGCGGTTAACAGAGCCCATGGGTCCGCACTAAAAAGACTTTGCTAATCATGTGCACTGATGTTATCCTGACCAAACACTTTTACACTCTCCCTTTTATATTAGGTTCTGAAGTTTCATGATATTTCTATTGATAAATCTCATCAGAAGAATCACGTAATCAGTTGGAAGGTTTCAGTAAGTACTAAGTAGTGACAAATATATAGAGAGAAGTGCATTATCTGTGTGTATTCCTTTTAGTTTTAGATTTAACCAAGATGTAGAGCAAACTTACATTTTCCACAAGCTTCTCAATGACTGCTTGCACATAATTTCTGAATTTAGCTCGAAGCATCACAGTCACCTCACTCAAGCGCTCTCCAGGGGCGGTGTTTCCTCCTTCAGGGATACACGAACCCCAGGACTTAAACTGCTGCTCTATGTTTGGGCGCAGAATGTCTAGCATCCTCTTAATTGAATTCAAAAGAATGCCCAGCTGAAAGAAGGAACACGTTTCAGGCCTAAAAATATGAAATATAAATGTGATGAAGGGCAGATAAGCATGGATGCTTACATCCTCTGGCACAATATATGGGCAAACTGATCTTTTGGTAAGTTTTTGCACATATTTGAAGCCAAATTTCTTGGGTGTCAAATTCTCCTTTAACGGAGACAAGACATCTGCATATTGCTTCTCCAGTGCATCCAAAATTGCTTTCTCAATATCAGCAATGGCCTTTATACATCAAGAGAAATAAAAAAAATTGTCAACTACAAAACAAAAAATAGTAGTTTCAAATAACCAAAAAATGAATAAATTGTAAGATGAACAACAAAGTGCAACAACAGCCAGTATGTTACTGCCTATTTGATTCCTTCATCTCAATCTCTCTTCACTTCCAGGAGAAAAGGAAAAATGAAAATGAAATAAAATTCATAACGTTGTTAAGTTTCTTTTCTTTTCATACAATGTTGCAATGGAGAAGTCTAAATATACCAGTCCTTTTTCAGCAAATAAATAAATCAACTTGGCACTGACAGAGACCAGAGACTATATACTGGTTTACCCACACTGGGCACAAGATAATGAGAGTATCGAGGAAGTGATGTTCAATTACTACTGTTTCACTGTCAATTTAGTCCGTTAATGAATCCTTTTGACGGTTTATAATGGTGCGGTAAAAAGAAATGCAACAGGCTTTTCAGCAAGTGTGGGGCGACTGCCTACAATAGTATATTTCCATGCAGAGTAGTAAAAGAGAAACAAGAATAATCAGTGCATACATTCTCCAATACAAATGTGTACTCCGGCCAGCGGCAGATGATGATCACATAGTCATTAAGAGTTCCTTTCAGGCGCTCGTACATTTCATCAACAAAAGGGGTTGTTGAATGCTGTGTTTTCACTCCCGACCATTTCACCTGTGAGATAAAGGAGTTAATTCAGCACCAATCAAGAAGAATGAAGGATAGAGCAGATCAGCAGAAAGTGAAAACCAATGATAACCAACTCCTAGATTAACTTGAAGCAGAACCAAGAAAGCTGTCAGTAGCGTAAAGAGTCAATTTTACTTTCCATCTAAGCAAGCAAAAATTGGCCCATCTTAAAAAACTAAGAATTGGTCTGTAAGAATTGGCCCATCTTGATAAATTCTTTCCATCCCCATTGCTAAATGTAAGAATTAGCCCATCTTAAAAAAAAGGAAAAACAAGTCTAGACCTTAGTAGTTATCAATTACAAAAGCCTGTTTAGTTGCTAACATTTTTACACTGCATCAGGAAAGCAGCAAGTTGAAAATTTTCACACTAAGAACTTCCCTACAAAATTAAACCTGCAAAGAGTGCATTATTTTTACAATCTCTTCTTATTTTAGAATTTCATTTTCCTCTCAAACACACACATGCAAGAAAATGATTCTGAATCTCCTAACTGCATTGCAAAATTTTCAAGAAAAAGTGTTCTAGCAACTATCTTGATATACAAATGAAGGCTCAATGTTTTCAAGCTCCGCCTTTGCTTCTGTTAGACTACTGAAATTAAGAAGCCTAATCTAGATTTTAACATCTCAACCCTTGGATTCCTGGATACCATCCACCTACATTGCAAGTTTACATGCGCAGCATAATAGAGAAGCTACAAGCATATATAATGAAAAGGCATTGACCAGCTTAATACAAAAGACTAAATGCAAATAATAATAATTAATAAAAAGAAAATAGCATCGGATGCTAAGTTAGATGCAAGCAAATTGCTGTCTGGAAAATAATCACACCAAACACATAGATCATATGAGATGGTTCATCTTAATGGAGGGATATTAGGGCCAGACCAGTAGAGAGTAGGTACAGTGCCTGTGAAATCCTCAGTTAGTACCTTGTCCAGCTTGCAAGATTCCAGTAAAGAGAGCCGCTTATCCTGGATCCACAGGATGATATACAAATGGAACAACTCTTTTGCATCAACTCCTCCTTTAACAGGTCTGCACAGGCCGTTTCACCAAAAATTACACCACTTAGCATATAGATCTTATGCACTAAAAAGTGCACCTATGAGGCAAGACTTACTTGATATTCCAGCAGGCCAGATCCCTCTGAAAATCTGCTGTTGCAATGACAAGATCAGTCACATGGGGAGAAGGGCCAGCAGGGGGGCAAGCGATCAGGAATGCACGCAATCTACAGCAAAGTTCTGCACTATATATGGCTGAAGAAAGGTTTGGCAAGTCTATGAAGCTGCAAACATCGAAGCAGTTAGGAATGTTGCAAGAAATGACAACTAATGGAAAAAAAAACTTGATATTGGACTCGTCGATTGTACAAGAAATGCACCTAAGACTTGTCAACAAGAAAATGCTTAGCGGTTTTATTCATGAAAGGAGAAACGCACATGTAAAACATAAGCACAAGAGAGAAAGGCAGTGAAGAGGAGGGAGGGGGGGAGGACGCAGGATCATGTCTGTTAAGAAAAACAGACATCGGGTTTGGCAAGCCATACAGATAGACAACAGTCCATTCCTCAGTCAACTGAGACGTTAAATACCCTTCTGCAACCTGGGACTAAACATATTATGCAAGGACAACATGGGGCCCAACACTATGTATACTTTAGTCAAGCAATGAGAAAGATTGACCAATCTCATCATATGCTATTTCTTATCCATATGCCCTCTAACTTGAACTCCTAGAATAGGGATAGTCTAGCTCTGATACCATGTCAAGAAAATAGACTCTAAGCCTAACACAACCTCAAAAGTTAGCATAGGAGGTGAGGGATTGCTCAAGACATGGAAACAATACATTCCTCTTAACCAATGCATGACACTTAATAATGTGAATGTTTGTTTTGTCAAAAAGTCAATTCACTTTACCATCTTCACGTATATGATTTGAGCGATGTGAGTAACAGCCTGTGCTAATACTAATCAATCTCAAAATGTTTACTTTAGACACATAATAGCCTCAGTATAGTTCAAAATCAGAAATACCTTGGAAGTATATTTTGATTGTGGATCTCTATGTCAGTAAAAATTTCGTTTCTTATGTTCATACAGAGTGACTTCATTTTTTGATAAGCAGTAGACACGGTAACAGCATCCATCAAGAGTCCTTCATTATTCCCGCTGACATATTCATCCGTTTCTGTCAAGTGTCGTCTTGATCTTTTCTTCGCAGCAGCCTGTGCAATCAAATATTTATGCCAAAAAGAGCAGATAAAAACAGATGATATATAGAGATATGTGCCAGCTTCTAGACCTGAAAATAGCTGTACAGTGTGTTCTGAGTTTCAGGAGATAATATGTCATGAAGTAGAGAAAATAGTTTAACAGCAGGCTCCAATGCAAGTGGTACAACCCCAGTAGCTGGTTTGAAGACATCCATTATCCCCGATGGTGTTGATTCATCCAAAGACTTGTAGTTTTCGAAAACCAACGCAAAGCTCTGTTCAATCTGGTCCTCAATTTCCCCCAAAATACGATTCTGTAAGTAGCAAGTAACACTGTGCAATGTCAGTACTTATGAGAGATACGTGAGCAAATTGTAGACCATTCTTTTATAAAGAAACACAGACATAGAATACAACTTTGTTGAAGACAATGAAGTCACAGAATAACTTGGAATCTTAAAGACACAAAACAGTATCAATGTCCAATCTGCAATATGGAATATATCAGATTCAATTTGTTTACAAGTGTTACCTCTTGATGACTAAGGGTGCTCTTAGAACGGCCCTTCATTATAACAGGTAACAAAAGATCATGCACAACTGTAAGACAATCAGCAGTTGGTGTTGCCACATCCATGACATAGGAAAGGTACCTGCACAGTTGATGTTGCAAAATAATTATGCACATAATAAGGAAGTGGGTAAACTCCTCCAGCACCTAAAACAAGTAGATGTAAATATATCGTACCTTAATCTAGTATATGCATCAGAAACTCCATAGTATGATGCAAATTCAGTGAGCAACCATTTCCATGGACCATGTAGTGTCAAATTTCTTTGTTGGAATTGCTGAATCTTCATTGCAACTTCAAGTACCAGGTCATAAGCAACAGTTTCTGCAACTGAACCACACTATGATAGGAAGAAACCAAAGAAACCAAAAAAGTGTCAGATTACAGAAATTCATTTTGTGATTATGCTTTTATTTTCTCCCAATACTTTTTGAGTAGAAATGTCATAGCAAATCATTTTATGGACAGACAATAGAAGTCATTATAAATTTCCACAGAGGAACTCCACTAAGATAAAAAATTATAAGAGGAATGCATTATCAATCATAAGTCAAAGACAAAAGAGGTCCAGAAATATCATTTAAATATGCAGTCACAGGAAATGAACAAGTCAGGGTGAAATGACAAAACAGGCACACCCAATTTCCACGGAAGTCCACAAATACTGATTCAAAACAAAGCGCATTCTTATTGGCTCTTTTCCCCTCTCCAAAATACAAACTTCAGATGCAATTCAATCATGTCATCATATCATATTCATATAATATTTATTATATTATATTTTATATTATATATTATAGATTATTATATATATCATATATTACTATAAGCATGAACAAAAAAAGTTGAAAGTTGAATTACGGTTTTACCCCTTCTATTAATTAAATTGTTATAAAATATTTAAATATTTGATTGTATAAGTTTAATTAAAATGTTAAATGACTTTTAGACTTCCTAAGATTAATTCCTAATTAAATATCATAACCTGCTTGTTTGTTTTCTCCGTTTTGGCCTTTTGATTTCCTTGGTAATTAAATTCTTTCTCCCATTACCTATAAATGCTTATTGCTATAATAATTATAATAAAGAAGGTTAATGAAGAGTTGCAGTGGTAATTAATTATGAGAGTTATATATCATATTTGTGTAGCAAAGAGGTGCCGGTGGTCATATTTTTTGCAAAAATTCATGATTATTAAGCAAATTTTTTATTGCTCTCTAAATACATTAGTTGATCACTGATTACTCTCATTATATTTTTTTTTTTCAGGAGAGAAAT